ATGGCCATGAATACTGGGAGCCAAAGAACTACTCAGTTGCTCAAAGACATCCTGAAACATACCAATACTCTTACCTTGCATAGCAAAGATGAAACACATCAGAGCTGCATTTCCCAAAAGCATCATACACCTTAATACCTTGTAGAAACCATTGGCACCAGTTTATCATGACAAGAATTGCAGCCAAGTTTAGAATAAATCTCTCATTAAATAAACAAAGATGTTTGCACCTCCTCTTACTTTAGCATGAGCTTTGCAAAACTTCTTTATCTTGGCAACATCATCTGCAGAGAACGTTGGCACAATCTCCTAACCTGAGGATATGACGTTCCAGTCCTGATCTCAGGATAGAGTTCAAATTTACACACCTGAAGGTCCCAGAGGTGAAGCCGCCCTGTTTCGCAAGCAACGGTAGGCCCCTACAATCTGCACACGGTCACCTGGTTTCACCCGGTCGACGAGGTCATCGTTTGCAATGTGGACAGAACGTGGCAGCTGTCCAGCAGGGGCTTTCTCTGGCATCTCCTGAATGGTCAGCGTCTGGTGGTCCTTATAGCAGCACAGCCCAAACTCAGTCTCCAGAGGATTGTTTTCTTCATCCTACACATGCAAAATTTATTTCATGATTCTTAACATTCTTAATACTAAATCAGTGATCAACAAGGTATGATTATTGGGATTTTTCCAATTAGAACATTCTCCTGGATCAACATTCTGTGACAGGAATGTTACAGGACCAGCAAAAGAGGATGATCTAGGAATGTCTTTCTTCACACACACACACACACACACACACACACACACACACACACACACACACACACAAATGTTTTCAATTTAAATTTAATGAAATATTTACTCAAATTAAGCAAATTGTTTACTTTGTTCGATAAATACAATTAAGTTTAATAAATTACACAAATTTCATTACATTTAAATTGTTAATTAGATTAATAAACAAATGAAAAATAATAAATAGTTATATAAAAAGTTAAATTAAATAAATTGGTAAATTAACAGTTTAATGAATACATTTACATAGTTACATAAATACTTATGTAACTAAAATGCAATTTAATTTAATTTAACATTTACATTCCATTTTACATACATGTTACATTCTATAAATAAAATAATTAAATTAAAAATAAAAACATTAAATATATGATCCATACAAAATATAGCTCACTTTAGTTGGATAGATGGCACTGGAAGGAAAAGCGTCCAATGAGGTAAGATCAGTGTATTTTCATTCTAGGGTTTTCTTGGTGGCTGGACAATAGTGGACACTACGCATAATTTTGGGCCTGACCAAGGAACCTACAGAACACATCAAAATTACAAGTTAGAAATGACAACACATAATGCATAATGATAATTAAGGTGGAGTAAACATCACATTATAAATGTGCGTATCAACCGCTCAGAGCTAAATATATTAATTTAAAAATCAGGGCCTGAAATTCCCCCCAAAAAAAAAAAAATAATAATTTTGTATTATTTTTTAACTATGTGAAATGACAAGCCTTAAACTTGCAATGATAATTGCAATAATAATAATAATAAATAAAAAACAAAGACAAAAAAAAAAAAAAAAGTAAATCCTACTCACATTTGGTCACAATGCCTTCCACACACACACAAGGTTTCCCAGAAAGCATGCGCTTAGAGTACGTGGAGAGACATGTTTGTTCCCAAAGCTGCCCTCAAAACCAACATGGAACTCTTCAAACTGCTTAGCATAAGTGGTGTCTATTGAAGCCACAAGATCCTTTAGGGTTTTTTGGAATGCCACCAACTCAGCAAAAGCATTATTCAGTAATCTATTGAAAAGAGACCATTAATCAGATGAGCTTCAAGGACAAACTCATGGACAAAGTACTTCATGGTACAAGACAATTGTGGGAAGGCTCAAAATAAAATAAAATATAAAATAAAATACTTTAGCTCTTTTTTCACTTTTTCTTCTCAGGTCATTAATGTTTACAATAAGACGACACTGACCGTCAGATACCATACACCTGACCTTTTCATGATAAATGCCTTGGTCTTGCTATAAATGACAAAAAGATAAATGACATTCAATGCAGAGATTGCAAGGGTGTTCACAAACCAAATTACCTACATAAAATCAAAAACAAAAAGAAAAGAATTCACATCATCCTCTAGAAAGTCTAGGTACTCCCTCTGAGACTCTCTCAGCTCAAGGTCCTCTAACCCAGTATCCATTTCCACTACACCAGTGTCAGCATGTGAATTAGGCTACTATAAACAACAGTATCAAATCATTTGCAGTCCAACATTACAAATCAAAGACGCAGACATGAATGACAACCAAACGTCTCTTTGAAAACCAGGTGAACACATGCCTACAAATCAATTATGTTAATTAGGCTCATTAAGCTGCCATTATCAGTTACAGAGACCTGCATTCAACTATGTAGGCTAACTGTTGAAAATAAAAATGAATTTAACAAGTGTCTACTCTTCCTAGGCACAATAACTAAAAGCTATTTATCTCCTTAAAGTGAACTGCTTTCTAGAACAAAAAGGACAATGGAAGAGAGGAATGTGGCCCTTGTAAAATGTCAGAGCACATGCAGTAGTGTATCTTTTTCTAATGCAACAACCCCCACAGTATTAGCCTAATTTATTCTTATATACTGTATTAGACAAAACCAGTGAAAAGAGACATCGGAGACATTTACATGCTATCTTAATATGAACCCATAAATAACGATGTTACGGTGTCTTCGTCTGACAATGATTTATTCAGTGAACTAGAGTTTATTTCGTGCTGCGGGATATTTACAGTTGACAGTGACACATTATACTAGTTGCATAATCCGCATATAAATTACCTAATTTTATTTTATTACCACATTCCAGGAGGTAGGAGACTTGGGCGACAACCCATTTCAAGTGTTTCGTTCGTAAGCGATTTTTTTAACAAAAAAATCCCCCCCAGTAAGATTAAAGAATTTTACTAAATATTTATTTATAACGTTTTTTCTATGAAGTAAAAATGCATATAATGCAGTTAATAATACATGTAAAAGTTAATACGTAAAAGTTAATACATTTTAAATTGTTATTGTAAGTAAATTAATAAATCAAAACAAACTTAACGTCTCCCTCAATCTCATTTGCGTAAGAATTGTCACGTGACGAATCTGCATTTTGGTGGATAATAGACTTAACGGTAATGCTTGCCTGTTGTGTGGAATAAAATGATGTTCCGCGTTTTTAACAACATACACGAACTGCAGAGAAATCTGGAGACAACGAAAAACTCAGATGAAGATATTAATGCCGTGCTAATGATTCCGGACCCGGACAATCAGATAAAGGTGATACACGGTTTAGCCGCACACTACTTTTATGCCGACCATTTACATCCAAATGTTATTTAATTTTCACAGAACACAACCTTTAAATAGATTTTAGAATATAAACTGTTTATCGTCTATTCAAACAGACATGTTTATTGTACATTTTAAACGTGTTTATTGATAAGTTTAGTGTGGCAAAATAGAAGCGCAGCTGTTCGGTTACACCGGTTCGGTTTGGCCCGGTGTTGTGTAATATTCGGTTCCCGTGAAAAACTGTTCCAATGGGCGGGGTTAGTACGAATATTCATAGATTCGTTCCGCGGTGGGCGTGGCCTTTTGAACTACAAACAAGCGAATGGAAAGGATTGTGTTGTCTGTTCTTCAGCTCTTGTGTGATGAATTATTTTGAAAAGGTAATAAAGCCGAATGTTCATACGCCCCGTTTAGATGTACAGCTGTTTATGTTATTCACATAGGCTAAAATGCTTATTGTTTCGCATGTGCTTTTATCAGAACGCTTTATCATGGCCATATGACAATGTTTTGCTGTGTAGCTTACGTGGATGATACTAAACACCATTAAACAAAAGTTAGATACAGCTGAGTTTTAATTTGTGTCATTTGTTTCTTTAATTTATTTTGTAATATCTTGTTTGTGCAGCCAGAGAAAATATGCATTCTGATAACACCTACAATGTGTAATGCATTGCTGCATGTATTTATGCATGAATAAAATTGGAAAAGTTAACTCTTCGTGTGTGTGTGTGTTTAGTATACATACAAAATGACTTTTTTCCCCCCTTTTGGTCTATCTTCTCTTAAATTGCATTTTAGCTCTCAGAAGAAACACCCATAAACAACATGTCTCAGTTGCTAATTATTTATTTTTTGAATTGTTACAAGGCTCTTGACAAAAAAAAAGGCAACAAAACACCAGATAACATAAAAATAAAATCTTTATTTGAACATGCATCTAACGACATTTGAGTTTAACTGCAGTCACTGAAAGTTATGAAAAGTTGTGAAAGTTATGATGCAGCAAAATACACATCAACTAGGGACACAGTTTACAGCTTGAAAATAAACGACAAAAACCGAGGAACGACAGAAATGTGTTCGATTCGTGCTGTGTTTGGTGTTTAGTATCATCCACGTAAGCTACACAGCAAAACATTGTCATATGGCCATGATAAAGCGTTCTGATAAAAGCACATGCGAAACAATAAGCATTTTAGCCTATGTGAATAACATAAACAGCTGTACATCTAAACGGGGCGTATGAACATTCGGCTTTATTACCTTTTCAAAATAATTCATCACACAAGAGCTGAAGAACAGACAACACAATCCTTTCCATTCGCTTGTTTGTAGTTCAAAAGGCCACGCCCACCGCGGAACGAATCTATGAATATTCGTACTAACCCCGCCCATTGGAACAGTTTTTCACGGGAACCGAATATTACACAACACCGGCCCCCACAAGCTCAAACGTCAAGCTACGCCTATGTTTATAAGGAATCGTTTGTGTCAATGATACAATGACTCGAGTCATTCATAAATAAGACACATCGCCATCTACTGGCGCAATGAAGTACTCCGAGATTCACTGAACAAATCAGTGAAGTAATCTTTTTAGTGAACTGACTCAAAAGAAGCGAGTCGCAGGAATGAATCAAACACTGACGTAAGTTTAGAGCCAAAACAGAGGCACTTCTGTTGCGGACACAAGTCTGTGATCTCATACAGCAATCTGCCGTGACCCTTGCTCCCGTTATCGCGGATTGGATCGTGTAATACTGCGAATAAGCGACCAAATAGCGCGGTTTGACTGCATTTGATTGCCGCGTCTGTCACCTGCTTATCACAGGTCCTCAACCCCACCCATTCTGTAGGTAATCATCGCGAGATTTCACTGACGGGGTTCGGTCAAAATCTCATGTCTACGGAAAAAAAGCGGAGTTTTGTTTTGGACAAACAAAACAAATGTGATCGACGTCTATTAAGCAGGTAAGCTGTGTTTGTTCAGTGTGTTTAGAAACATTATTTGATATATGTGTTAAGAAAAAATGAAAGTTTAGTTTTGGCTGAAGTCAACTGAAACGAGACAAGTGAAACTTATTTACCGATACTAAGGCACAGGTTGTGTGAGGCAGAAAGCGGAAACCTCTTTGGTTAAAAGAAGGATTGTGATTATTATATAATTGACAGATTTGCTTTTCAAAAATACAATATACTTTAGCCTACTTAAAAATGTTTGCTGTAGTGTTAATGATGGATAATAATAGAGATTGTAGGCTACTCTGTAAATCCAGAGTCTACGGACCTCTGGATGTCACGGTGAGCCTGTGCACAAAAAAATAACTAAATAAATAAAACTTATAAGCTATAATTGAGATATACATAAAATGTATGTATGTAAATGTCATTAACGAAAAGTATTACATCCCTTTTTATATTGGGGTCTCTGGGTTGCCTCAAAGTCAGGGGCCCTGCAGTAAAATATGAAAACTTATGCTATAAACACATAATGCATCGAAGCATATTTCCCTCATGAAGCAATGAGCCAGCCGTCCAGAAACCATCGTCCGCAGAGAGAGAGAAATGGGGGACACTATAGTGAGAGGCGAGACCGAGAGCCCCGCAGCCGTCGAGACAATCCTAGTGAGCGATCAGGCAGTGAGAGGTGAGATGACATTCTGCCTGTTCAAATAAACAACAACATACACATTTAAACCAGAATTTGTTTTTCATCTTTTATAATTGTATCTGACCCAGGTCGTCTGGCCAGCCGCCATACTACCCCAGAGGTTCTCAGAGACATGCGAGGAGCGCTCCTCGAGAGCACCGGGAGTCAAAGTGCTCTTACGTCTGTTCCAGGAGAGGTAGGCATTCACAGACAGATGTAACTATGGATGGGAGATGAATGTTGTTAGACTGAAAGACAAACGCTGCAGTTTGTATGTTGGAATTATGTATCCAAACAACTACATCAAAATGTCTGAAACCAGTTTCAGGTAATTCTCTGAATTTGGGTGTCAGTACTGGGATCATGTTTTTTCAAACATGCCCTCACACAGGTCTGGTTTCAGTCTAGCTCAAGTCACACCTTCTGACACGACACATTGTATTTTACCCCCCTTCCTCCTTTCTCCTGGTCTAACCGGTTTGGCTTTTTTAAGCTTGTTGATTCCAATCTTTCATTTACAAACCCTGAGAGATATGTAACATTTTTTCTCATTCTCGCAACACATGGACCAGGCATAGCATATATAGTGTATTACTGTATATGTTATAAGTAAAATTTTCTTTTAATATATTTAAAATGTTTTTCACTTGCTGTTATGTTCGCAGGTGACCTGTATTTGCATGCTTGTATAAACAAAAGTTCATAAAATGGTGCACATACATGACAGTTTGTTTTTCTTTCACACACTTAAAAACATGCTCAGTTGCACACAATAAAACTGTAATTTAAGGGCACTTACAGATATATTGATTGTCTTTGTAGTAAGGGGGTTTTATATAGTGGTTCTCATCCCTTTTGACTTAAAGTCCAACCATTTTCCAACACAATATTTGAAGGCCCCCATATTTCCTCTTGTATTTCTGCTTCTTGTTTTTGAACTGTTTTATTAACAGAATCTAGGGTGTTTGTATATTAAATTAATTAAACAAGATTAATTATGTGATTCTGTGAGGTTTAAGATTCTGATTCTGTATTTAATTTATTACAGAAAAAAAATACTTGAGGAATAAAAATGTTAATTTTACATTTAAAAAAATACATAAATCAAAAAGGATACATTTTAAGTAATCCTCTTTTAAGTCAAATAGAGATTTTTGTTTACATTTTTTTTTTAGAGTAAAATATATAATTTCGCAACAACAAAATTTCAATTATTCAGGTATTAATCCTAGGCAAACTAGGTATCCAGATCCTTCTATCCTGAGTTGCGAAGACTTTTTACATTTTTTTAATGATAAAATTGTTGGTTTACATTCTAAAATACCGAAGTTGCAGGTGGTTCTGTCTTTTGACCTGGCTGTGCCTTGTAGCACGGAATGGAGAGAATTCCATCATATTACCCTTCCAGTTTTGGCGGATATTGTTGTACATCTTAAGCCTTCTTCATCTAAAGGTGATGTCATGTCACCTCGTTTTTTTAAGCAGATTTTTGCTAGTGTAGGGACCACGGTGTTGAACCTAATGAACAAATGCCTTAGCCAGGGCACCTGTCCAGCAGATTTTAAGCATGCTTCAGTTCTCCTTTTATTAAAGAGGTCTAATTTGGCAATAGAGGATCCTAATAATTTTAGACCGATCTCAAATTTACCTTTTTTAGCTAAGGTCTTAGAAAAAGTGGTCTTTAAGCAATTACAAGCACATATCACTGTGAATTCAATTGGTGAGCCCTTTCAGTCGGGCTTTAAGCCCTGCCATAGCACTGAGACCGTGTTGGTCAAAGTGTTAAATTACAAATTTGTTTCACTGGATAATGGCGAAAATTTATTTTAATTTTGCTTGACCTTAGTGCAGCGTTCGATATGGTGGACCATGAGATTTTAATTAACTGCATAGAACACTAGGTTGGCCTAAAATGTAATGTTCTTAAATGGTATAAATCTTATCTCACGGACAGATTTGTTTCTGTTAGTATTGGGGGCTGTAATTCTTCAAGATTACATCTTCCTTGGGGAGTCCCACAAGGATCAGTTCTTGCTCCAATTCTTTTTTTCCCTTTATATGCTACCGTTGGGGTAGGGCTGGACGATATGGCCAAAATTGATATCGCGATATATTTCTTAATTTCGGTCGATACGATATAATTTCGATATCGATATGAACACTATTTATCTGAAATAGAAATCTTTCAAATTGAACGACAACAAAAACTGGAAGTGTTGCTGGAGACGGGCTTGTTTAAAATAAAAACTCATTCTCTGCCAGCAGGAGGCGCTTTTAGAGTGATAAAACTAGCGGTTTCTCCAGTAATGGCTGTAATCAAAGCAGCTCCGCTCATGAATGCTACTTTATCAGATCAAATGAAAATGCTATCGAAACTTTTCTTTAGCCAGTCAATTCCCTTCAGAGATACATTAATATAAAACACCCGCGCCGTGTTATGATTTTGAAACGTGCAGTGCTCATGTTTATTCAACGAAGTCAAACGGCACAAATAAATCAATATATGGGAAACTGGTAATGTATATTGAAATATCGGAAATGTGTTTAAAAATCATATCACCGTTATTGAAAAAAAGTATATCGCGATACATATTGATATTTAATTATTGTCCAGCCCTACGTTGGGGGCTATTTTTTCTAAATATGTAGTATCATTCCATTGTTATACTGATGATAAGTAAACGAAAGTTATTGTGTTCGGCCCCAGAAAGCATGATGTGCTTCAGTGCTTGAATGCAACTTCTTTGACTGGTTTTGTTAAATCTAGTGTAAAAAATCTGGGATTTGTTCTGGATAGTGTCGTAAAGTTGGACAGGCAAATTAATACTGTTACGTCTGTTAGCTAAGACTGAACCATTTCTATCCAGTTCAGATTTTGAGAACGCAATTACTGCCATTGTCTTTTCTCGAATGGATTATTGTAATTCCCTTTATTAAGGAGTTGATGTTCGAGCACTTATGCTTTTACAGAAAATCCAAAATGCAGCAGCAAAAATGATCAAGTCGGCAAAGAAATATGAATCTGTGACTCCTTATTAATTTCATTAAAGTGGTTGCCAGTACGACTCAGAATTATTTATAAGATCCTCATACTTGTTTTTAAGGCCTTGCACAATCTAGCTCTTGTGTATTTGTCCAGTATGGTGGCAATCTACACCCCCTCTAGATCCTTGAGATCAGAAAATCAACATCTGCTTTGCGCTACTAGGACAAAATATAAACATAGAGGTGACAGAGCTTTTTTTTTGAGCAGGCCCTAAACCGTTTAATGACCTCCCTCAATCTATTTGATCTGCCAAATCCTTACCCATGTTCAAAGCTATGTTAAAACAACATCTTTTAAATACAAATGGGGAGCCTTTTTAAATGGGATAATGTTTATGTGATGTGGGTGTGTATATTTTTGCTATCTTCTTGTGTTTCTTAGCTTGTGTGAGTTGTATTAAACTGTGCTATATAAATAAACAAACAAACAACTTTTATATGATAGAATTTTACTTGTGTTGCAACTTTTTTTACCATCAAATTTAGCTTTAGCTTGCTAAAAAATGTTGAATGCTTTTCTGTTTTTGAGTAATATTTATTTTGAAAACAACTACCCCCCCAATAATATTGGATAGAAACCCTACCCTTAAAGCTTAATACAGCGTAAATATTTAAAATGTTTATTTGAAAACTTAACGATGGGCATTCCTCACACGACTGATCATCATATTTGTAAGATTTTGGCATTAAAATGTTAAGAAACCTCCTGCTCTAAACAAGTTTGCAGTTTCTTAGTTGCATGTGTTTCTGTGTTTGTTTCAGGTATTGTGTTAATATGCGCCGTCCTGACCAATGCGTTGGTGCTCATCTGCGTGGTGGCCGCTCACATGTCACAGCTGGGCATGTCTGCGATGGGTATGGGCGGAACGAGCTTCATTGACGCCATCATTCCTTTTGAGGGGGTGGAGCTGCAGCAGGTGCGTGAGCTTGACATGCAGTACGGACAGATGAGAGCACCAGGAGTCTATGGCGGTGTGGCCTTCAGCCTCACCTTTGGTGCACTTTCACTCCTATTCATAGTGTCCAGCAGCAAACCCCCCCACATGCTTCCACGGAAGCTCCTGATTGGACAGTTTGCATTCCAGATCATTGGTGCAGTGGCTTACGTGGTTGCGGTAGGTTTGTATCTGCACTTCGTGGTCTCGGTGAACTCAACTGAGGTGTGCGTTCGGCGTGAACGACTGTATGCTCGTAATGGATATACCTGGATGAACTGTAGTGTGAATGGGGGGGATGCAGCTGTCGCATTGTTTGGAATTATAACCGCAATTCTGTATGCTGTTGGGACCTTTTTAACGGGAAAAACAATCCAGGATGTCAATCGTTACTTAAAGGAGCGTGAGCGCTTTGAAGCCGAACACAGAGAACAACCCAGAGGTCCTCTGAAAACACCTCTTGATCCTGACAATTATGTCTGAGTAGTGCAGGAAAAATATGGACTGTGGAATGGATGTACATAAACTGTTTTTTATTTTGTTTGTTTTTTTTACTTTTAAAATGTTTTTGACTGTGAGAAACCTGTTTTTAGAATTCTTTATGCTTTTTTTAAAATGGTTTTCAGGCTTCAGTTTAGTTTTGATGATGAAGGTTTTTCAATTAATAAACACTGAATAATTCCTGTATATAATAAATTGAAAATGTGGCATTTAGCCTCATGAATAAAATGAATAAAAAGTGAATGCAAAAATATATTAATTGTTTTAATGAAATAAGTGCAATAGAGTGCTGCAGCTGTGACATGAAAACCCAGAATTTTGCCATGGCTTCCCTTATGATTTTGCTATGAATTTTTAAAATGGGGTTTTCAGTTCATGAGTAAAATAAGCTCAGTGGTAAACATCACTTGGTATACTTGGACGTTTTGCTCTATAACGTATATTACGCACACTCAAACGTTCTGATGTAGTTATCTATGCAGGGTTTCTCTTGGTATTAAAAAGTCTTAATATTCCCTTCCACAAATTAAGGCCTTAAAGGTCTTAAATTGGTGAGGAAAGACTTCAGTTCATAACGTCATGGCATTAAATGTTGCATGCACTGCAAAAATTAAACATCTTTGTCAGTATTTTTGTCTTGTTTCCAATTCAAATATCTAAACATCCTTAACAGAAGATAAATTTACTTGAGATGCAAATTAAGATATGTGTATTCAAGATAAATTAAGACAGATAAGCCCTTTGGCAGATATTTGCCTTTTTTTAATGTACAAATGTTATACATTCACTTCATTTAGATGAATTTTCCAGAAAACAAGACTTCTTATATGATTTTTGGATTTTGATTTAAGAGATTTTTAGACATTTGATTCTAGTCAAGCAGTTTATTTTGTAAAATTAATTAAAAGTAATGGAGATTGGTTTGGAAGTCGTGCTGCTAATGTGACTCATTGTGTTCTCCTTAAACATTAACGTTTAGAGAACATTTTAATGTGCTGTGTTCCTCTTTAATGTATTCCTTACATTTTCTTTAAATGATATTTGAAAGTTTTTAATTTATCATCATAAACTTGCAGAAACCCTGCTATTACAAACATACATTTTGAAAAATGAACCTAACCGATTCAAAATGTACGTTCTAGCATGGGAGCGTGTCATTTATTTATAGATCAAAATGTCAAAGTATCATTAATTTATATTTACCACAGACCTTGTTTGACTCATAAATTGAAATTTATAATAAATTTAAATAAATTGAAAAACCCATAGGAAAACCTTCATGGCCCAATTAGTCTTCAGGTTTTGACATCACAGAATTTGGCTTTGAATATTTAATCATGCTGAAAATTTAGTTCAGACAAAAATAAACATTTTCATCTACTCACCATTAAACCTGACTTTCTTTCTTCTGTTGAACATAACATTTTGAGATCTCTTTTTTTCTTTTTTCTGTGTATACAAAGGTCAGTAAAGTGATTTGGTTCCCAACGGTATTCAAAATATCTCCTTTGCATTCTGCAAAAGAAAGTAAGTCATACAGGTTTGGAATGACATGAGAGTGAGTAAATGATTACACTTTTTTTTTTGTTTATTTTTCTTTGACTGACTTGTCCAACAGGGGGCAGCAGATACACATGCATTTTTGCCCCCTCAGTCTGACCTCACATTTTCTATGATACATGACCTTAAATAGCCTTACTGCCGAATGTGACTTTAGCATTGATTATACAAACTTTTTATGTAATCTTTTTCTAGACATTATTAAAAATGATTTTGAAGATTCCTTATAGATACAGCATTGTTTGGAATTAACTAGCAGGTGCATTAAATAGCACTAACTGGATGTGCCTCACATTTTTATTAACACTAAGTTTCCACTGTTTGGTGAAGCTTCAGCTGTCACACTCCTTCAGAGCTGTTTGTGACTGACAGGCATAATCTCGCAACTCTAGATACAGCA